AAAAAAAAAAAAAAAAAACAAAACCTCTCAGTGTGTTCATTTAAGCATTTTTGTATGTTACTAAACTATCCTTAAGTCAAAAGAAATGGGAAAAAATCAGAAATACTGATTATGAAAACATGAAGTGCTGAAATATGAGTGATTCCACTGACATAATATTCACTGGAAAATTTGTACCCAAATGATAAAGCTAGAAAGAAATAGCAAAGTGATCAAGAGAGAGAGGATAGATTTTAAAGGAAAAATGTAAATTAGAAAATCTAAGACAGTACCTAATAACATTCCTTTTTCACATGCATCCCTTCATTGAGTTAAATAAAATGTTTTTGACAATTTCTTATATACACAATTTGTTCATTTAGGGAATGTTGATTGAGCCACAATATGTGTGAGATAAAATTCCAGACACATATGTCTGGAAAATAGATCAGACAATAAATCAAATATAAATTAAATGCATGTTATATGAAATTGTGATAAGTGAAAGGAGTGTATTTAAGAAGGAAAAGAATATGAGGATATTCAAAGGAAGTAAATTCTAATTATCAGAATGTAGTCAATGAACTCCTCACTAAGAATAGGCATTTAAAAACAGGAGTTATGTGAATGACAGCCCAGAAAACCTTGCAAACAGAAGGAAAAAAATGCAGAAAAATTGTTGGGGCATATATATTGTGGTAAAAGATTATCTGTATTTATACAGTTAAGGTGTTATTTATATTTAATGATCCCTCTTTAGGGAAATAGCCTTAAGTAGTACTCTGTGTTCTAAGGAGATCATCTTATTGGAACCAAAGGGATTCAACACTTAAAATAATAATAATAATAATAATAATAATAAGGGCTCTGGATTGGCTCAGTTAAGTGTCTGACTCTTGATTTTGGCTCAGGTAACGATCTCATGGTTTGTGAGTTCAAGCCCTACTTGTGGCTCTGCACTGACATTGTGGAGCCTGCTTTGGGATTTTCTGTCTCCCTCTCTGCCCCTCCCCAGTCTCTCTCTCTCCCTCTCTCAAAATAAATAAAAAAATAATAGTGATGATGGTGATGATGATGATAATGAAATGTAAGAGGGAAGGATGGAGGGGCACCAGGGGGGCTCAGTCAGTTAAGCATCTGACTCTTGGTCTCAGCTCAGGTTGCAATCTCGCGGTTTGTAGGTTAGGGCCCTGTGTGGAACTCAGCACTGATGCGTGGGCCCTGCTTGGGATTTCGTCTCTCTCTCTCTCTGCCCTCCCTTGCTTGCTCACTCTCTCTCTCTTTCAAAATAAGTAAAAATAAAACTTAAAAAAAAAAGGAAGGAAGGATTGAAAAACACAACCACTTACAATTAATTAACTTTGAAGGACACATGTCCTTGCAATTAAAATGAGGTCTGTTGGAAACAGGGCTAAACATGAGTATAGTTGGGATGGTTCTTTAAAAAAAAAATTAATGCTTCTTAGTTTTGATAGAAAGAGAGAGAGAGATCGATCACTAGCTGGGGAGGGACAGAGAGAGAGAGGGAGACACAGAATCTGAA